TACAGTTTTACCCGAAGAGTTTGTAAATAAACATCGTGCGTCTCACAAAACGAAGCTAAGTTGTGTTCGTCGACCACCTCTTCGCTGTTCTCCGGTTTGTTTACAAGTACGTTTTCTTTACCCGATATGCCCGGGCACATTAACAGAACGTGCCGTTTCGAACACCACTCGCATTTCGTTTTGACTTTACACCTTTGGGAAATGTGTCCTCGTTTCAGGCAGTTGAAGCAACAGCCTTCCCGTTTGACAATTTCCTTTCGCTCGTTTAACGTTAGTTTACGCGCGGATTCACAGTTCTGACCGTCGTGACTCGACTTACAAAAAACGCACTCTGTCTTCTTTTGTTCCTTCGATACCAAAAAAACGCTCGCGCTGGCTGTCTCTTTCGCCGTTTCGCTTTTACCTTTCGACCTCTTCGCCTTCTCTTGTTCCGTCGCCAAGCAGAATCCTGTAAAGCGCCATATCAATGCGTTCCTCGTTTTCCACTTCTAGCTGCAGGAACTTAAGAAGTCTTTCGAGTCGATCGGTGATTTCCCTCTGTCCGTTGACTTCGGTTTCTCTCTGCCCGCTGCGTTGCCACGCTCGAAGAACTTCTTCTGGAAGGGATGACTCGACGAGAGGATAGAGCATTGCGGCACATTTATCCGTCGTCACGCTCAGCGTCTCCAATGCCCGAATGTAGCATTCTAGTTTATCGTATATGTCCGCGAGGGATTGTTTTTGTTTCCCCTCACGGCGTTCTGCAGCACAAGCCCGAGCAGTTCGCGAACGTAGAATTCCACAACGATATCGTCTCGTCCGAAACGATTCTTTAGACTCGTGATCGCCTTGTTATAATTTGCTCCCGTAGACGGGAAACTTTTCACGAGCTCATTCGCGCGCGAATCTTGCACCATAGCCTGTTGTAGATACTGCATCTTGTCTTCGTCGGTGATTGATAGATCGTTGTCTATCTTCTTAAACTGGCTCCAGAAGGGAAGCCAGTCTTCTATGCCACTGAATTTCGGTAGTTCCAGCTTGGGAAACTTCGATGTTCTCGCAACATTCGTTGAGACCGTTTTTGTTACGTTCTCTAGCATCGGTGACGTCATCTTTGTGATTTTCATCTTCGCCGTTAGATATTGCGTCTTGTAGAGGTCATCCGTTTCCATCTCCTTGTTAATGTCCTCGTCGCCTATCTCAGATTCGAACAGACCTTGGTTGTAAGCAGTATGGGTCGTCTCCAATTCCGTCATCTTCGTTTCCAGAAGTTGGAACGCCACCATCTTTTCCTCCTTCGGGCAGTCGCTTTCCATTCTCGTTGTAAAACTGGTGAGAGCTTTCGTAAAGGCCGTCCGAAGAACTTTTTTCTGCTTCTTGACGGCTTCCATCTTGTTCGTCCTCTCCCGTACGACGTCGACACGAGAACTTTACCCGATCACTTTTTCTCAATCGTCCTGTCACGGTCGCCACTAATGTCAGATTGCGATTGAGGATTCGGGATCCCAAGGAATTGGGCCACGTTAAATGCGGATCTGTCCTTTATTCTTATACAACCGCGCTTATAAGCTCTGCGATACCTTTTTCGCTCGTGGTCCTAACGCAACTGTCCTCTTGCACGCTCGCTAACTCCCACCCCCCCTACGCTCGCTCCTGATCCTTCTTTGTTTCTCGACGATGCCCGCACTACCTTTTTCTTCTACTTTCCGGGACAATTGTGGACTAGGAGATTGATGTTTACATACGTATATCGATCGCGCTTCTACTCACGTGGTCTTGTGCCGCGCTAGAGGCGCTTGCAAGCGCCACGTTGCGTCAGATTTCGAAGCGCCAGTGACGATTCAGAGCGCCACGTTGTGTCAGAAAGGATGTAACATTTTATATCAAAAACTAATAAAACAATTAGTTTGTATAAATATCCATTGTTATATCTGGTGTAATTTATTGATATCACTACTTTTGACAACGCTGTTCAAGGTCACACTGATATTGCTCTGTAATGCGTTACAAAAACTATATTTTCGAAATATTTCGGGGTCGCGGTATTTTTTCCTCGCCCTGTATATGTATACAGGGTGAATCTTATTTCCTGCCCCACCATTTTACCATGAGAGGTGGATTACCAACTGCAACTTTAGTTCACTGAACGGTACAAGAGGGCAACTGCTTAGATCTTAAGGATGTTGCAGGCAAGTTGAAAACTTGTTTCATTTACAGACATTACGTGGAGAAAAATAATTTGCTAGCACAGTATATTTTATGTAAACTTAAGTAGTAAATTTTGTCTGTTATTTTATGATAAAGTTATTTTCTCTTTTATGGACAACTATGTGTTAAGAACATTAATTTTATTGAAAAATAATTGTGCAAAATATTTAGCTAAAGAAATAAAGTAATTTGTTCTATTAAACATTCTGGTGTAATGGTGAATAATTTTAATAATGTATACTAGAGAAATTTTTGTATCGTCATCACTTTATTATCAAATATACAGTATTCAAGTAGCAACAACAGTTTCGCTGCAATAGCAAAATTATTCTTTTCCGTGCGTATTATTGAAAGTTTGTAAGTATAAAATGTGTGGTGTAAAAATAACGAAGATATTTTGTTACTCTATCTTTTTTGCAAAAGTATAATCTCTACAAAAATATCTTTACTGCAAAAGTATCTTCTTTACAAAAATAGTGTCTCCACAAAAACCTTCTGTACAAAAATATCTTCTCTACAAAACTATCTTCTCTACAAAAGTAATGATATCAACAAATTGCGCCAAATAAAACAACGGATATTTATACAAACTAGTTGCTTTAGCATTAGTTTTTGATTAAAAAATGTTATATTTCTTAAAAAATCAAACTAAAGATTTTATTGGAAAAAATAATGGAGTTAATAATAAAACACCGATGAAAAGAATAGCAACTGTTTAGAAATTTAGAAACTCTGTATCTGTTCAGGCGAATTAAGGC